TCAATTGTGGTTTAGACTGGTGGTGGCGATAAGCTATTGTGGTGGCAGCAGCTGACACTGGTTGATTTCAAATTCCACCAAAATTGTATAAGGAAACGGGAAAGCGAGGGTCCGAGGATTCAATTTTGGAGGCGACGAAAGGTTTCCGAACTTTGAGAATCAAATCACCGTTTTCTCCAAATCATCAGAAATTATGTAGGTCGAAGTGATAACATTTAAGACTGGCCTTTCTTTAGTTGGGGTTTATGAATTTGACTGTAGGAGGAGAAGATAGATGTGGGTTCAATATGAATGGGGATTTATGGTTTTGGATGATGTACTCTCACAGTTTCTCCTACTCATCTTCCATCAACTTCCTTCCACAACTCAATCGTCAGATGCCTCCGATAATCTTCGGCTGGACAATATCACTGTATTCTCCGGTGGTCGGCACCGTCACCATCGGCAACTGCCCTCCTCTTTTTTGTTCTTGTGACCACACAACAAGACAGAGAAATCAATGGAAATGACAGTGAGGACGAAACCGGTGTAGACTCAAAAAGTGGAGGGAGCAATACATGCGGCGGAGGCAAGAGTGAAAAATCAGGAAGTTTTTCATTGAGGGCAGAGATAAGAGTGAATTGGGAGCGATAAAGATAGATAAAGATAAGAATAAGGCGGTGAGCAGCAGAAGAACGATTTTATTGGAGGACGAAGGCGGTGAGTGTGGAGCAACTACGGCTCCAAACAGGCTGTATTGGATCCAACAGCTAAAACGATAAGCCATGGCTTTAAACCACATATTGTTCATAAGCATGTTTGTAATTAATTGTATGTATAATTTCCCATTTCGTTTTCTGGCATATGGATGATTAATAACTTGATTAAAAAAATTGTATTTTTATCATATCAAATAAATAGTCTGTATTTTTATCTTATTAATAAGCTTGTAGTTATCAAAAGGCTTTTAATCCAACGGTATCAGATGTTGTCATTCCTCCTTAAGGTTGAGGGTTCAAATCTTGTTTGAAACATAGATGAATTTAAAAGTAGTTTAAGATTATATTATATTTGTTGTTCAAAGAAATATTAAAAAAAAAAGCTAATAGTCTTATAAATTTAGAGCCCAAAAGATAAAAGAAAATGTTCCTCATTTGGTTGCCTTTTGCATTTGTTATAATTGATTTCCATTAGGCATACGTTGACACTTCATAGTGACTGTTGGGCACTTCATAGTGACGACACTTATAGCATAATTTTTTATGTGATCGGATAATAGTATTTTTATTGTAGTTTTGTTTAACTGGATTTGAAATAAAAGCCTGTATTTTTTTGTAATTAGAAGATTTTCCATTATTTGATTTGGATACGGTCATAATTGAAATATGACACTTCTATGGAATATTTCTAAAATGAATGGTAAAAGGTGTGGTAGTTGTTTTGTCAATGGTAAAAATATGACACACTGATCACGTAAGATTTTATAATTTTTGTCACAATTTGCTTATGATTAGGGTGATTATATTTTTATCCTTGAAATAATAATTAATAAAACTTAAAATTGCAATAACCAATCAATAGTTATTAGAATGGAAACAAAACCTCCAAACATTAACAATTTACCATTGAGAATTGTCAAAAAAAAAAAAAAAGTTAGGGCGGTGTTACCGCCGGTATGATATGCCACATAGCATACCGACATCAAATAAGGCATGACACAGTATAACCTTATAGTCATTTAGAGGCTTTGACCAAACAAACTTATAGTTACCTTTGTTGCTTACCATATCGTTTTAAATATTTTATCAAATGAGTATCCACTGTATTTAATAGATGAACACGAGACACACACATAGGCCTGTCGAAAAAACCCGAAACCCATTCTACCCACCCGACCCGTTCCGAATTCGGGTAGAATGAGTCGGGTAGAACGAGTAACGGGTATGAACATTCGGGTAATAGGTTAACCCGATAATAATATAGGTCGGGTTTTAGGTATGAATATTTATTTTCGGGTATACCCGAATACCCGAATTCGTCTTTTAAATAATACCAAATATACAATGCAGTCACGTACGCACACTTCAAATAAAACAAAACCTTTCGTTTCCTTCTTATGAACGACGGCTCGACAGTCGACGCAAAATTTCAAAGGGAATACGACGTTGAAGCTGAAGTCCTGAACCGTCATTACAATTCTCAATTTCTCACTATCGCACGGAATGGAATTAAAAAAGTACATAACATATTATAATGATTTGTATTGTTATTATATATGTACTTGTTAATTGTATGGAGTATTTTCCTATCCGATTCTTTATTAAACCAACCAACATGTAAAAATAAAAAAATAAAAATAAAAAAAATTATCAGTAACTGTCATTTAAGAAATTTTCGGGTATACCCGATAATTACCCGACCGGACCTCAAACCCGAATACCCGAAAACCCGAATTACAATATAGGTCGGGTATCGGGTATTATTTTCTTAAGGAAATACTCGTTCTACCCGAAACCCGAAAATTTTACCCGTTCGACATCCCTACACAAAAAAAAAAAAAAAAAAAAAAAACTGTAACAAAGCGAATCTTGGGCCAATAGCCCAAGATCTATATCTTTACGATTTATACACTTCCATTATAGAATCATGTGGGCCAGACTCTGATTAATTTTTTTTATACATTTTAAGCATTTATGTGGGCCGAACCCCATCGAGAACGATCAATCAACGCATAGAATTTGAACATTTTATAAATAATATAATATCTGAAAAGTTTTATTGTTATGATTAGAGCCATGACATAAACATAAGTCTTATAATTGTTTATTTTTATTTCCGACTTTAATGATTGATGTATGAAATTCCACACAAAAGATTTGATATTCAAATACTAACACCTTCAAATATCGTTAATGTTCCGCTTAGATGATATGGTTAATTATTTTTATAGTTACAAACTTACAATTATGACTATTTAGATTGTGTGATTTATTATTTTGCTCTTGTTATAAAAGTCTAATGGTTGAGGCGTGAATTTCATTCAGAATATCTATATTGAAACCCTAACATATCTAATATTCTACGATTAGTTTTCCACGTGGGTCCTTAGCCAGTTATTATGAACCGTTTAGATGTTACGATTTATATTTTTTAGAGTTGTAATTATGATATAATTATTTTATGTAAAAGATTTGGAAACTTTTATTGAGTTTTTTACGTAACGATTTCATTTATTTACCAAGAAGTTCTCAATTACATGAATAGTATTTAAAGTTTATTTTTGGCATTGTTTAATAAACAATTATGAAATTTATTAGTTTTGTCGATTAAGACAATATTAGCTATTCTAATAAAAGAATTTAAATCGCAAAAACTTAACATTTATCTGGAACATGGTGAAAAGAAAATAAAATGAGAATATTTTTACACGTTTTTCGGAAAATAAGGTGGCCGTTTGGTTCGCATAATGTTTACGAAGGAATAGAATATGTCAAGGAATTGGAATATGTTGGGAATTGTAATCAAATTTCATAGTTTGTTTGGTTGGTAGGAAATGAAATTGAAATCCAATTTCATATTATGTTTGACCGGAAGGAAATGGAATTGGAATAACATAAAATGACATAATTGTCCTTATTTTTTACTTAAAATTACTTTGTTTTATAAGTTATATGTGGTGGTGGTTGTGGTGGCGTTCACAAACTTTTATAGTTTTATACAACAAGGGCTCATGACACATATTCTACGCTCATAAACTTTTATAGTTTTATATAACAAGGGCTCACGACTCTTATGTCGTTCTGTAATCAACACAGACTCACTACTCTCTTGTCGTTCCACCATCAACCCCTTAATAATGAGTATTATACGCTTACAGCTCTTGTACCCTTCCACCATTAACCCCTCAACATAACATATCAACATATCAACCAATCGACAATCCACATTCATAAACTATTCTAGACTACCCGAATAATCACCTTCTACCCGTACATCTACCTCTTATCATACAAATTATATATACCATAACATGTAGTATAGTGAAAAAAATTCACCTAAAATTCGTAATTCACTCCATCTCGCATGGGATGGAAGGTGAAATCGAAATTCACTCCATCCCACATGGGATGGAAGATGAAACTTAGATGAGGATTTAAGGCTATAAATGGGGTGTTAAGGATTTCATTCTTCCTTGTTCATTGGCTTGATTTTTCGCTAATTCCCTTATTTATCTCACTGGAATGAAAATCTTAACCCACATTAGGGTTTGTAGAATTTTTATCGTCTTCCTATTTATCTTTTGATTCTCTCTTTGGTGTCTTGGGTGTGATACTATTAGAGGGATTCTGGTTTGGGTTCTCTAATCCAAGCAATATTGAGAAGGATAAGATCTCAGGCATGGAGATTAATAGCTACATAAGAGGTATGTAACTCTTTCTTTATTATGTTTTAGTATGGTAGCAGTGATATCATGAAACTTAGATGTTTAGGGTGCATGAACACATAGGATTATTGGTTTATTTTGGTTGTGCTTGATCGTGTGTTTAGATGCATTGAAAACTCAATAGTGGTGTAAGAGCCTTAGTTTATGATTACTTGCACTCTAATCCAATATGATTTAAGTAAAAATTGTTTGTAATTGTAATAAGAAAAACGAAAAAATAAAACTTGTTAATTGCAGGTGCGGTGCGTTTGTTTCTGGGAGTGATGTGTCCAGCCGCATCTAGGGTTTCTTGATTGCTTTCCTTATTAATTTCAAACTTGAAGGTTTTTTTTAATTTTTGATAATTGTCTTTTATAAGATAAATATTATTTAAAAGTGTTTTAAATCTGGATATTTATCTTGGCTAAATATTATTTAAACAAGAAGCATGTTCATGATTCGCATGTGGTGGAAGTGATCTGGGTCTTTTGTTAAAGCTCTTGCAATCCATATTTATTTTAGATAGTTAATAGTTGAATTATATTATATATGTTGACGGTTACAGTTTACAGAAATAATAATCTGAAAAGTATTGTTTGACTCAAGAAAAATACATCATTAACTTGTAAACATACATCAAAAACACATTTCTAAGCCACAATTCTTTAAGCATCTAATGGTGGCAGTTGAACCAAACATTTTTTATTGAAACCAACATATAAAGTCTTGGTTGTGTTTAAGAAAATAATCTAATTATAACTTACCTAGTCATATAATTGCATCCTTTCTATTTCCATCTTCCATGACCACACAAACCTTACATCATTTCACCTGAATGTGAAAAGCAACAAATGAGTACTTATTAAGAAAAAAAAATTCCGTCCTTGATGTTAAGCTTTGGGTTTATTCAAAATAGAAATTAATGTAATCTAAAAAATGGAAAACCACATTATATAGGCATTTTAGCAATTGTAATAAAAATGCATAATAGTTTAAGTCCAATATGAAATTAGTAAACCATTTTAGTCAGTTAATGGAAAGAATTAGGCATAATGAAAAGCTTACTATGTAGTCTACAGGAATTGAAACGTACGGTCTCAAGTGATTCCGACAAACTCATCACTTCCCATTCATCACCCATCCAATAATAAATAAATTTAATAATACATAGAGATATATATTTTTTCCAACAGTACAATCTACAAAGACTAAATGAGTCAAGATTTGACGTTTAAAAAAGACGACACAGAAGTATAAAAAGAAGAAGATTAGAGTTTTATCTTAGAAAACCACAAACATGGTTACAAAATCATGATTAAACCTAATGATGTCTAATCTAATGGAATGCTTTCAACTTCAACAACTTCAGTAGCTGTTGCAGTGATTGCACAAGTTAAGGCTTGTGTAGTCTTGAATATCAGGAAACTTATTGTTAGTTTGTTGAAAAGGACACCACCGATCCTTGTTCCAACACATCTAATAAAATAACATGTCAAAACTATAACTAGAGTCATGATGATGTATTAAAATCATATGTGATAATTTATAGTTGATATTTACCTCCACTTTGAACTTCTCCAAATTTAGAGAGTCGTTGATCACATGTAGAACAAACGAAAGGTCAAGTGAACACATGCTAAGATCAAGTGTTCTCAAGTGAGTTAGTGAAATGGGGACCTTATGTGGCGTACTACCTGCAGTTAAGTGTTTTAACCAAATACTAAATATAAGATTAAAAGTTTAAAATATGATGACATAAAACAATCAAGTTAAGTATTACTTTGATACACAACTACGAGATTTCCAAAACCTAAACTGAAGGTAATCACATAAAAAGATCAGGTATTCACACCCGATAACTGGAACCCATCCCCCCCCCCCCCCCAAAAAAAAAAAAAATGGCAAAATCGTTCCTACTTTTGTTGACATACCATGTCAGAAATTTCACATTTTCAGGAAAAAAATCCTACCAATGTCAATTTTTTTGGCATTGAGAGCAACACTAATAACCTTTAAGCCCTTGCAAGTCTTGCACCTTCAACAACATGATGACAAACAAACATCATTCAGTTGAACTATAACCTTGAACCAATAAAAACCCAACAAAATAAATAGGGAATAAATAATCTTGATAAATATAAGGGCATGCTTGGTTAAACGACCTCCAAATTCCTTTCTCATATTGGAATTATGGCATGGATTTAACGTTATCTGGTGTGTTTCCCATGACATCGACACAGTTGGAGAAGAAGACCAGGAAAGCATTGTCTTTTTTCAGCCTTTAGAGGATATATGTGGAAAGAGGATATCAATTGTCAAACAATAAGACATAAGATGTTAGATTTAAGAAGGCAAAATTTAACTTTTATTCTATCATCCAAAATCATAGATAAATTAATATTTCAAATTCCGATAATAGTTCCCAGATAATAATATAAATGAAAAAAATAAAATAAAATCGATGAAGAGAAAATGAAGAATCAGATATGTGAACGAACCTTTGCGAATTGCCCCCAAATTAGGTATTCGTTCTCTTTTTGTTTCTTCTCTGATTCCGATTCCGAATTTGATGTGAACGTCAGCGGTGAACTCGTTGGCATTAGAGAAAGGAAGTGTTTGGAGGCGGTGACGGGTTTTCCTTGTATTTACTCTTGTTCTACATCGGTTTCTTTGCGTCACTGATTTACCCATCACCCTTTGCTCTGTTGTATCAAAAACAAAAAAAAAATCATAATCCCAATGTCGCAGTAAGGAAAAACAAAGGGATCCTAAAATTGTTGTGTGAATCCATTCCTCATGTAGTCGTCCCTTTGCTCTGTACCTGAAATACTGATGGCCAAAATCCCTCACGTCGACGATGGGAAATCGAGGTCTTCCTCTCCAATACATGTATGTCAGTCAAAGGCGGTGGAGTCGGAATAATTGGATTGATTCGAAGCAGATGAAGCACAAGAGTGATGTAAGGGGCGAAAAGAGTAGGTAGCCGGTGGAGTGGTGGGAGTTATATCCAAGGAGGATTCGGCCCGGAGTTATGTAAGGGGGTTTCTTAATATATATATATATATATATATATATATATATATATATATATATATATATATATATATATATATATATATATATATATATATATATATATATATATATATATATATATATATATATCATACTATACTTATAAAGGAGACATTTTTCCTATCACCTCTTGCATTTGAAACCCTCACACAAATTTTCAATCACCTCATGTATTTGAAACCCCCACACATTTTCACCTTTAAAGTAATTAATCACACATCATGAAAGGTTTTATAACTTATATAATGTGTTTAATAAACAATTAATGGATAGTCTACTATAAAAATGTCATTCTCTTTGAGTAAACACACAAATACAAATCACATACATAATTCACAAAGAAAACAAGTTTAAAGGTTTTGTGTTGGTTTGAGGGCTTTGGACCATTTTTCGAGCCATGTTATTATGTTAAAGTTTTTAATTTATGAGTTTCTTATATACTAATTCTTTTTTTATATTTTTCTTGGTTTAAGTATTCTTTTAAGACAATCATTGTATGTTGTGGTTGAAATTTTAATGTAAATTAGATTAGATTAATGTTATGGATCATATGTTATGGAAAGTGATAGAGATAATATTTAATTAAATATTGTATATATGTTTGTATGTTTGTGTTGCTTCAAAGTAATAATTAATTAAAAATCATGGATATGCAATATTATCCATAGTATCCATATAAGTCTCTTTTAAAATGCAAATTGCTTATCTTATCATTTCATATTTTAGTATAAGTTTAACATTTTAATTATAATAATAAGTGTCTTTTAAAAGTTTTCTTTCGTTTATTAATAATAATAAGTGGTTTTAAAACTAATGAACCATAATTATAAATAATAAAATCAAATTATAAAAATCATGGATATTTCATATTATCCATGCAAGTCTCTTTTGAAATACAAATTGTCTATATTATCAGTTTATTATTTAATGTATGTTTCACATTTTTATAGTAATATTAACTGTTTCTTAAAAGTCTTTTTTAACTTATAAATAATAACAAGTGGTTTAAAACTAAATAACAATAATTTTAAATGATAATAACATCAAATTATAAATTATATAACGTTAACAACAAATAAATTATATTTTAAATGAACATCATTACTGAAATTAGAAAATAATCGCATAAGTAAAAATTTAAATTAATCAATCATAACAATTGTTAAAAATAATATTAAATAGATAATTATATTTAATTTTATTAATGAGGAAGGTGGGTTGATGTCAACGAATAATATTGTTCAAACATTATGTCAAAGTTAATGTCAATAACATAACCATTTTAAACATATATTTTTTAACATTTTAACGATATATTTTTAACCTACGTTGTGCAACGCACGGGAATTCGTCTAGTATATATATAAAGCAAGTATTTTTCCTTGAACCTCATGCATTTGAAACTTTCAAGACCATTCAACTTATACAAATTAGTTTATGCAAACTTCCAAGACCATTCAAGTGTAACACTCCTCCCCCACTAACCTACTATTAACATATTTCTTTAAGATTGGTCGCAGTACATAACAATTACTATAGTTTTGAAATTCAAATCACCATTTTATTTTAACCGTTCATTATTTTCCAATATTTCATAGCTTTAACGACAAAAATGAAAGTACAATACAAAAGTATGATAATTTTTTTAAAATACAATAATGAATTTTTTTTCAAATAAGTAGTTTTTAATTAACTAAAATAATCATTGTTTAACATAACGTAAAACTAAAGATTAAATTATATTATATTAAAAAACTATTGTTATTTGAAATAATAATAATAATAATAATAATTTAGGAAATAAAAAATATTCAAATAAATTATTTATAAATTAATTAAAAAATACCTATAGTTTAAAATAATTTTAAATCAAAAAACTTAATTCAATTTGATTCAAACACAACTTTTTATCTTTTTTTTTATCGTATACTTAAAATTATTATAATATTAATTACAACTTAGTATAAAAATTATTATTTCAATGATAAATACTTATAATATTGTTTTTATAACATATAACTGTTAATATTTATATTACATTAGTAGGCACAACTAAAGAGTTTAAAACTCTCACTACAACTCAATAGTTTTTTAATTTAATGTAATTAAAATTTCAAATTTAATGTAATTAACCATGCCTTTATATTTTCCACTACATTCAAAAGTTTTTTAAACTTATGATTATTAATGTGCAATGTTTTTTTATTTTTCACTTATTTATTATACATATTGTAACTATATTAGTAGTATATAAGTAAGTTTTGATTAAAAAAATCATATGTTTAAAAAGATTTGTGATTTAAAATAAAAGAGTTGAAAAAAATAAGTTTTGTCGCAACAATGGTTATTTCAACATGGATTTTTTATAACAATGTTTCTATATATCAAATGTATGTTGATTTCTAAAAATTTATTTTGAATGATTTATAAGTGTTTAATAAGTTTTGTTTGATGTAAATGTTATAGTAGATGTTGTAGTGTTTTTATTTTATTAAAAACTATAGTGTTTTTCCATACTATTTGTTATTTGTTTTATATACAAATCGGCATACGTTTTATATATAATTTTCACAACTTAAAACATTCTATAAATTCATCAAAAGTTGTATTATTTATTTTTTCATACTATATATTTGTTATACATATAAATTAATATATTTTTGATATATAATTTACACAACATAAAACGGTTTATAAAATCATGAATTAATAGTGGAAATAACTAATGATATAAATTTATTATAATTAATAAAACTAATATGTTAACTATAGAGTTTGTTTTGCTACTGACATTGGTTTTTCATGTATAAATATTAAATCACTGTTAAATGTTATTTTTATAATTAAATAACTATTTTCACGCGCAACGCGCGGAGATTCGACTAGTATATATATATATATATATATATATATATATATATATATATATATATATATATATATATATAGAGAGAGAGAGAGAGAGAGAGAGAAAGAAAGAGAAACAAAGAGAGAGATAGAGAGAGAGATTTTAAAATTGAATACTTATAATTGTATTAATTTAATATTATTAAAATAAAATTTAAATTTGAATATTTGAATTGGTTTTAATATTGTTTATAATAATGATTTATGAATTGAATATTAAACTAATATTAATTGTTAATATTGTGTCCTCACAATTTAATTATAATTAATAATAGAAAATCATATGTAAAGAATTTAAGTTTATCTAAAAATGTATTAGAATGGTATATATATATATATATATATATATATATATATATATATATATATATATATATATATATATATATATATGAAGACATTTACAACATGTGTTCTGGCATGTTTAAATATTGACATTATGAGTCTTATCATGACTAGGCTCGCACGCTCTAATGTTATAAGAGAGGTTTCTTTGATTCCGAATGAGGTCGGTTTTTAAAAGCTCTAGCTTACCACCCTCATTGTCTCTTTGCATTTTGAGAATGGAGTTACCGAAAGGGTTTGCTTGGATAATATTCAAGATAAAAGTATTAAGTTAAAAGTATAAAACAAAATCTTGTTTTATTAAAAAAAAACGTGAATCTTATGTTACCCATGAAATATGCACACTTCCTTTATAACCGACACATCAATCTGATAATATAGTTGAGAATGATGTGGAACTCATGAATCTTAACCGTAACTTGAGCCAAGGACCATGTATTTTTGCATGGTTGGTTCACCATTTATTCTATAATCCATGACGACCCGTCATAGAACTGAGATGATCATAATATTAACATGACATTGACAGTGAATGAATCTTAAAGATCTAGGAATCTCATAGTGAGTGAAATTCGAAAATAGTATTGCCTACCAAAATAACTTTATGGTGTGTTTACGACGACCCTTTATACATCATAGCGCCAAATATGAATCCTAGCCTAGTTAAATAATTTTATTTAGGGTAATTATTTTCTAAGTATTAATAAAACAAATTATAATCGAAATTGATATTGTATGATGTCTATAATCCTATCCGCTAAAATCTACTGCTACAAACCTCTAAAACGATAAACTACTAGGACGATCAATCTTATCCAAATTTGTAGTTTGTTAATAGTTCTCATAAATGAAAAGAAAGAGCGTGCCTTTGATAAAGCTCTTCATGAGCTTCCTCCAACCACTACGTTATAAAATATTAGAAAGAGAGCGGTTATCAAGTGTAAGTTGCATACAAGTAAAAACTGAATTCCATTGAGTTAGGAGTTGACTAGCATTAGTCAACTAGCTAACATGTATATATGATCAGTTCACTCTTATTTTGATATGAACAACTTTGAAATGTACATGGAGGCGTTGTATGGCATGTTGAGGTTTCCTTTTGGAACTAACATTTCTAATGATAGAAACTCCAACTTCAAATACTCTCGTATATTTAATATCATGAATAAAAGTGTCAAGAAGAAGAAAGCTAGTTGCCCATGGTTAAAAAGGTGATTAGTGTTGGTATACCTAATTTGAACCTAATCATCAAGGACAAAGAAAGGTTTTATTATGAGACATGGTATGATAATCTATTTGTTTCCATAACAAGAAAGGGACGAAGAAAGCATTAGTCAACTGAGTAGGTGAAATAAAGCTTTGAGTTGCTTTAAATTGAGAAAATCAGGGTTGGAAGTGTTCTGTTTAGTTTGGTATTCAATGTGAGATTGGCATGGTAATGGTTCAGTGTGGGCGGTCTGTCTGGGGGGTCTTACCAACTTGAGAGTTCAGGCTTCAGAAAAGTAGTAGTGGTTTTATGCATGGGTTTATGGGTTCGTCTTCGTCGGGTCGAAGAGTTCTGCCAGTGTGACAACCCGAAACTTTCATCTCGCACACTTAGTCAATTCAATCAAAGTTAAACTTGTTTTGTTGATTTCTGGTGCTATTTAAGGGTTCATTTAAGTGTTATAAGCTTGAGTACAACCAAGGTTGAGGTTAGGAATG